GTTAAAACCGAGAGATTGTAATCAACTAGGAAATCCTTTGAGCCAAACCCGTTTGCTAAATTGAGAGCAGTCCAAACCTGAAAGTATTTATATGTATATTTTCAGGACGTTGTCACAGACCTTCTTTAGATGCATGGAGGTGGTCTAACCTCAAAATGACGTTCCAAGCTAACCCTTTTGAGGCAAAGTAGTACAAATAAGAAAAAAAATTATTTAGGAAATCCTTATACAATGATCAGTTTTAAGACAGCCTCCATCGAAGACTAAAGGATATAAAGAAGATGGAAATATAAATTTCTCGTTTGAAAGATAAGCTTCTATACAGACAATAAAGAAATTTTAGGTCTCAAAAGAGTTACTAAGAGCCATATTTAAAAAAATTCTTCCATATACTGCGTATATAAGAGAAAGTTGTGATGAAAATCGAAATTGCTAATTAATTAGTAGATTCACCAGAGGATTCAGCAGATCTTTCAGTCATTCATTTTGGCTCACACAAAATCAGACTGCTTGTTAGAAGGGCCAAAGACATTCTATCGGATGAAAAGTTGGATCTAGAATTATTAATCATTTGTTGTAGATAAAAATGATTTGCGTGATGTCTGAATACCAGAGGCCAAGGACACCAGATCGGAATTAGGCTTGCTGAAAGATTTACAACCAAGATGTGCGCAAACTTGTGGAATGTTTGCACAATTTGAGCCAGAAGTGGTTGTTGAAAGCAAGGTGGATGGTGCAGGCAGGCTGTTACGCTTTGAGCCTTCATTACAGAGCCCGTCAGATATAAGGCCATGGGGGCAGTAATCCTGCAACGAAGAAGAGTCGGGTAGACTGCGGTAGAGGTTGGCAGCAACCAGAACACAACATAGCAGAATTGGACCAATAAAAGCACCTTCAGCGCCACGCCAATAAACGCCACCAGCTATTGCCAAACCTGTGAGGTATGGGTGCCCGGCTCTAAAAGAGTCAAACTATATTATAAGGTGGCGATTGAATTAGATCTAATGACAGTCGAAAAAACTTTTATATGAAATTTTAATGTGTTAAAATGAATTTCATGCCAAAAAGATTATTGAGTCAGACTAGTGAAAATTTAATGTGCAAAATAAATTATCGTCGGCCTGCCCAATATTCATACTATTTCATTAAAGGTGATAAAAGACAAG